CTCTCTCTCTCTCTCTCAGGACTACTGGAGGTGTGTGAAGTGTGACGAGCTGAACCCCCCCCTCCCTAGAAACTGTCTCCGCTGTTGGGCGCTGCGCCACGATTGGCTGCCCGAGGACATATCGAAGTCGGCCTGCTCCAGCCCTAAAGCCCTGCCCCCGAAGCCAACCGACCAATCAGCAGCCACAGAAGCTTCAGGTAGGTTTTAAGTCCCGATGTTTTGATGATGGTTTCTTAATCCTTAACATTTAAACCAGCGTATGGAGTTTAGTTTATGATCTTTAACTAGTGGGATTATAACGTGCTGTGCTGTTAAAGCTTTGTCTTACTTAGTTTGCTTTATTATTTAACACATTTCTTCATGTCGTCCACATTAAGGATCTTCTTAAAAGCAAAGTTAAGGTTTTACACTTTTGTGGAACACAGTTAAATGAAACATTTTGATGATTATATTTTGAATTCTATGTGATTTGTGAAATTGCGAAGAAAGATCCTGATTAATTATTGATCACGCATTCCATCGTTCAGTCTCTTTGCCCACTACTGATTTGTGATTGGATATTTGTTGTTGTGTGTGTGTCCTGGCTCTGCATGCGCCAGCGAGGCGACACACTCCTCTCCGGATGCCCTGTCTGACTCGGCGCTCTCCGCTCCCGACTCCCAGGATCTCCTGTCATCCTCGCAGCCTTCCTCCTCCTCCTTCTCCCAGCAGAAGCTCTGGACTCCTGACTCCCAGCCCTCCTCCTCCACCGACTCCCAGGAGCTTCTCCCGTCTTCCCCGGCCGATCCGCCTCCCCCCGCGGTCCCCGAGCTGGAGCGCAGCGTGTCGGCGGAGTGGCGGCTGCCGGACTCGTGCCTGGACCCCTGTCTCATCTGTCAGTCCCGGCCGAAGAACGGCTGCATCGTCCACGGACGAACCGGACACCTCATGTCCTGCTACGTCTGCGCCAGGAAGCTGAAGAAGAGGAACAAGCTGTGTCCGGTCTGCAGGCTGCCCATCCAGTCTGTCGTCCTCACCTACCTCAGCTGAGACACCCCGTCTGTCCTCACCCTCCATCTGTCCTCACCTACCTCAGCTGAGTTCACTAAACCATTGAACTACATTGAATTATCACCAAATAAAAGTTCAGTGTGGTGTCAAGTCTCAGTCTCTCTCTCTTTGGGAAGCTGGTAAGACTCGGCATTAGTCTCTGTTCTGTCAACAAGCTCACCAAAAGACCAAAACCAACAATGTTAGTAGTTTTTTAAGCAGGGCTGCACCTAACCATCATTTTAATCATCACTTAATTGACCTAATTCATCTTTTTGTCTATAATCGTTAAATAGAAGAGCACAGTGATAGAAAACAGACGAGCAGCAAAACGTCTCATATAGGAGAAGCTGCAGCTACTAAACGTTCAGCACATCGGCTTTAAAAAGTCAAACAGGAGGAGAATGTGTGTTTGTTTGTCGGGGACTATTTTCAGCGGCGGATGAATCCACATTTGGTGTTCTGGTGATTATTTGGGGCAGCGGGACGGTGAACGTGTGATTGAGTCACAGTAAACTACATTGTGTGTTGATGCTAATGAAGGAACATGTGACACACGAATAGTTTTTGGACCACAGTGGATGTATCTGACGGTTGGTTTTGGTCTTTTTTTAAATGGGATTTGTTGATTTAAAAGGTAGAATATTACCTTCTACCATTATCTTTTTAATTATGCTTAAACCTCAAAACCATTAAATTATTTTTCATTCCAAAAACAGACAATCTGCCCTCAACTGAATGAAATCTTCCTGTTTTCCATCCCACCCAGAGTGAGAAGAAGTGATAAATATCTCTCTTTGTCAAACACAGCAGATGCTTAATGACTGGAAGCAGCTTAGCTCCGTTTTATAAGCGGGCAATTATAACTTTTTGATAATTTCCACCATTTTCTCATCTACATTTGAGTTTAAAAAAAACATCAGGACTCGCCAAAATGTCAGATTGTTCCTTTTAACTTCATCATCTGGTAACGCTGTAATGTGGTGACGTTTTATTTCATGGGTCTATAATTTCTTAAGACATTTCCTGGAAAGGATTCTGTAATTTTATGTGAATTATATGAAGAAAAAAGTAAATGTCCAGCAAAATTCAAAAAGAGAGACTGATTAATTTGAATTATTTATTTCTAAGCATAGCAATTAAACACTTTTTTTCCTTATAATGAGTAACAGATGACATAGTTCTTTCCAGGAGTGTTTTTGTACATTATTAAGAAATTATTAAAAAGAATTATGGACCCATGAAATAAAGCTTTACCCTTTTATATTTTACAGGTTGTAATTTCCAAATCCCTTAACTTAATTTGAAGTTCTGCTGAAAGAAGCATGTCTTTTGGTAGCGTTTATAGTAACTGCATTGAGAGAGAAACGCATTAATTTATTATTAGACAATGTATTTTGTATGCTAGCCCTGCTGTGCACTGATTAAAACATTCGCCAGGTTAAACTAGCAATCAATTATCTCTTATAATTAATACCAAATGACATCATTCTTTCCAGGAAACCTTTAAAGAGTTGGAAATTAATAAACTGAAGTGTTACCTAAACATCTTTATTATTTATTATAAGTTTATTTAAGATGCTCGAGTTTATTTAAGCGGACACTTTTTCTAGGAGCTCTTTAAATAACAAGATGAATATATAAGATATATCGAATTTCTGATATTTTCTGTTTGCAATTGTCTGTGAATTGAATAGTAATAAAAAAAAAAATAACTTCTGTTAACATGAGTGTGTCATTTATTTTGAACTGAGAGTCTTTGTATCAATTTAGAAAAATAATATATTATTATTTATATAT